ATTTTTTTATTAAGTCGAAAGATTTGTAAAGCAATGTTCCTCTCATGCCTTTTTTTTTCTTTTCACATCTTGCCTATCTATCATGCAAAGTTAATTTTCAATTTAAGATTAAAAATACTTTTATGCATCAGAAAATTTTGAAATTTCATATGCGAAATCTTTATAATGTCCGGATAGTTATCAAATGTTTCTTAAGAAAAAACTTTATATTTTATCTGTTATTTTCAGTAATTAATCTCTGTACGGGTTCAGTAGATTTGAACGATCTCGCAACCACCATAAAAAATTAGGAAATAAACATAAATTATGTCTCTTTCATTCTAGAATGAACACAAAGTATAGCACTAAAACATAAATGTTTAGATGAAATAGTTTAAATATCATAACATTATACATTTATATATATTTATTATTTTTATTATATTGTCCTTTCACCTGTGCCTGGCTAACAATACAGAAGTTACAATGACGTGGCTCACGTGTACTCATGTTACCGTATCAAATAACATAAAACTGACCTTTGGTCTGTACAAAGTAACTTGTCTTGGCTGTGCTTAGTATTTTGTAAAATACAGTCACATTTCAATTATTGTTCATTATATATGTATATAGATTATTGCTATTTTGAAATAAATTCTTAAACATAATTTTCTTAAAACGTAGAACAGTATATATAGAAGTAAAGGGAACAATTATTTCTTCCAGTTACGACCTTTGTACTCGGTTGCTACTTGACGGAGGTTGCTAAGCCTTTAAACATTTTGCACGTAGATGATTCGAAACAAAATATTTTTTTAGGTTTTATATATACATTTGAATAACTAAAAAATCATAAATTACTACATCAATACCATAGAATTCAACTATAATTTATCAAGCTTAGTAACTAAGATGTATTTTACTCTAAAAAAATATGAAATTTCGAGCAAACTAAAGGCACAACCTACCTCACTGAAATTTTGGTTCAAAAAGATAAAAATGGCGCTAGTCACGTTAGAAAGGCTGAGAAAACCAGTACATTTTGAGCTTTCGATTGATTATTCATGTCATATATAGAAATAAGTGTATATAAGGGAGCGTTTCCATAAATGGAAAGAGATGAGCGGGGTGCCTCTGTGTTTGATTTATTACATGAGCAATATCTTAGCAAATAGAAAAGATGAGACCTTCTTATTTTATATTCTAGCTTGTCAATATCTGTAACTTGAGTTTCTAATTCGTACGAAACTGTAGACTTAGTATTTTGACTTCACAAACATCTAATTTGAATCATTGTTGCATTCAACATACCACGTGACACACAAAAATGTTTATGTGTTTTTTAAATATTTACTTTTGAATTAAGAAATTGAATAATGTGTATAGTTCTAAAATTAGAATTATAATCTACAGTTTGATACCAAACTTACTGACATAAATTCATGAAATAGTAGTTCAATAAAATGCGAGTCAACAAACGAGATGACATGGCCTTTCACCTGTGACCCGTCTCGAAAGGGATAATATGTTGAAACTTTAGGAAATAACTTGATAAAAGACAACAACAATAAAACAACCCTTTATAACTTAATTTAGATCTTGTGGTAGATATAATGCAAAGTCTTACCATGTTCAGGTGAAATTATTTATATTTTTTAATCATTATATAAGTTTCATTTAATATTCAATTCACTTTAATTAAAACCGTTTATCGTGACAAAATTACGATGTATAGAACAATTTCTAAATAATTAAGTTAGAAAAATGAAGAAAAAGAAATGCTTGGTCGTTATTCTAAAATCGAATGTTAAAAGGCTCATGTGGTCGTATAATTCAGTTAGATTTTATTCTCTATAATAAGTTTATCAAAACCAGACAAAAGAAAACAAGCGACTTTATAAAATCGAATGCCTCTGTAAGGCCCCAAATATTTGGAAATCGGGCATTACAATAAACATATATATTTTTTAATTGTAAGTGTTAATTTAAAAAAAAGAAAGAATTTGTAAACTACAAGTTTTAAACAGACACTTTTCTCCCTCATGTGGGGAAATATATATCTATATATACAAACGTATGAACAAATTCTTGAAATACACAAGCGATACACATTCAGGAATCGCAAATAAAAGTATCGGTAAGTAGATGGCGAATTTATTAATGCTAGAAAACCACAGAAAATACAAAAGAAAAGCGAATAACTTGTACAGTTCACTATTACTTTGTAAGGGAGTCTTTTGATTTACATAGAGCATTACACATTTTTTAATGCAGCCATATTATTGACGTATGATTTTGGAATATTGTTCCAAATGTCCTACACAATTCAACAGGCTGTATGGCTGCCTTTTGACCTTCTCAGTTCATTCATAACCTATGAAACTTTAAGAATGTCCATATTGAGACTATGCAGGCTAAGTTTTCGTTGATAGCATTCCATCACTACATTTGATGTATGTTTAGAATCTTGTGTTGTTTAAAGATGAATCCTCGCCTGATAAGTTGTGTTCTTAAGAAAATGGCATAATGTATCTGTCTGTACTCGTTAGCAATAAGTTTCCATCAAATTTACGTAGATCACCGAGATACAACTCAAAACATATACCTATACCCCACCCTGCTTCACTGTAAATGTTCTACATGTGATTGATACTGTGCCCCTTTCATACCTCGGTAAAACTGTTGTTGATTGATATCAAACAATTCGAGCTTGGGTTCATTTGTAAAGACCACACTTCTCCAGCTTTGTTTATTCCACTGTTCATGGTTTGATGCCCATTTGAACTTTTGATTTGGTTATCTCTTCTCAGCAGCCGTTTTTGAGCAGTTACATATCCACTTGACCACTTCATGCTAATGTGTACCTCAGTATTCATAAGATAACATTCACATTGTATTCAAAACAAGATTGTTGGCAAAATCTGTACATGACTATCATTTATCTCAAAAAGGATATATCCGGAGATAGTTAACGTCACTTTTGGAAAGTTTTGGTTTTCTACCTTAACCACTTCTATTGTTCTACCATCAATAAAACTTTTCATTATGTTTATAAATCGTTGTTTGCCTGCCTATTAACATATTAACATAATGCATCCTTACTCAATTATTTCTGCCTGTACTCTGGTTTAGTTCACTTTCACATGATAAAGATGTAGCATTCCCGTATTATTTGCCTTTATGTCTTTGTTCCTCATCGTATCAATAATAATTTTCAATACTGTATATATTATCATCTAAGTTTATACGTGTCCACATTTCATACAATATTAAAAATATACAAGTGATCTTAACTATTTCAGGAAGCAGTATACGCATTATCTAGAATTCTAGATGTTTCTTGATATAATTTTTAAAAATTATAATTTAAATAAAATGACTTCTCATTATAAAGTTTGAATTAAAATAAACTCTAATGTAATACTTAAGAAGTAGAGATTTACACGACTTTATAGTTCTCTAAATTAAATATGATCTGAAGGATATATATATAAAGTGTTTAGAATTTAGCTTCCCATACGAGTTTCTGAGCGCCCCAGGTTGTCTCTCTAGCCACTTCGGAGCTAGTTTGATTTAAAACCTAAATACTGCCAAGATAGTTAGCTTAGCTTAGCTTCTCCTACAGTGCTTTCATAGCTATGCGTAAGAATCATACTTAGAGATTAGAAAGTGAGGGCGTCACTCATAGTTGTAGTAACAGTCATAAAGAATTAATCTTATTTTATAGTAAAATATTATATAATAGGTGAGTTAATCTGGTAAATATCACCTAAGGGAGTGAGGAAAACTGATATAGTTATATTAATAAATTCGTGAAGAAGTAACTTTAGTTAAAGAGTATAACATTATTTAATGGCTGAATCAATTTTAGTAAAATCATCACGATAGCTGCACATGTTACATGTGGAAATCAGTTATTGTAAGGAACATAGGAGTAAAAAATGAAATCAATGTATATTTAATTTATATAAACAATTTTATTCTGAAATAGGATCGAGAACACATTTTGTGTGATGTTTAGCAAGATGTTTATCACATGTCTAGACCTTTCGGCTGTAGGAGTACAGAAAGTTACAGAGAACTGAAACTGTGTCCATTGTATGGTATAAATTAGCATTGACACATAAACATTTTATTGTTTATGAGAAATATATATGCGTGAAGATTCCTATATGGAAATAGTAAAGACAGCAAAGTGATGGTCAAAGTCCCGAATATGGTCACTAGCAAAAGTTCAAGATGAGCAAAGTTTAATAAAAAAGTATGTTTTTTAAACCAAGAAGTTTGTTTATTTCTAAAGCTAAATAGCGCCTTTCAAAACGTTTACTCTCAGCAACAATGATGCTTTTGAACTAATGAATTTTAGAATAATTTGCATATCACACTCCAAATAGTTATATGAAAATACTCATGAATTAAAAAAAAAGAATCATGTAAACAAACAAATTTGTATATTCGCCAATTCATGTTTTTACATGTCTGCTGACATAACTGTATTAAAAAAGAACAGTTAGATGTTGCATGTTAAGTCCATTGCATTGTGTGTAAAATGACATAAACATTTAACCATTAAAATGCTTAATTCCTGAAATAAAACTAAAAAAATCTGAAGTGTCTATTTTCAAAGCATACAACGATTGGAAAAACTCACATAGATC